CTCTCTCTCATCCGAGTCAATATATGACCAAGATCTTTTTGAGTATCTGTAAGTATTGATCCACTAAACTCTTACTCTCACATAATCGTCTTTTTGACGCACTCCCAAACATGAACACGAAGAAAAACAAAATCATTTTTTTTAATTCAAAAACAAAAAAACTTAATCAGCAATGTTTAATTTGTCTCTTAAGTGGTTTTTTTGATGCCATCCCCCTGATGAAATTGCCAGCTAAAGGAATGTATTTTTATCTTTTTCTAAATTTAAAAGAAAAAAAAACATGTAGAGTGGTGCAGCATAAATAAAGGTGTAATTTGGGTCGGTCAACCCAAACCCAGGGCTGGCCCAATTAAAACTGGGGCCTAAACAGAAGTGTTAAATAGGAGCTATCAAAATTTATCAAAAAAAAATATTGTATGATTAATTTTTTATTTTTTTCATTTTTGTGATGCAAAATTAGTAATCAAATTTTTATATTTGAGTTTTGCTAGTATATTTTTTCAGTGGATAATATAACTAATCCATTCAATCTTTCTTATACTAAAGTTGATCGTAAGTAGAATTTTATGAGTTTCAATTTTAAAAAAACTTGACATATTTCAAACTAGAAATTCTTGTGAATAAAATATATTTTAAAACAACAAATAATTATACTGAGAGAACAATCTAATATCTTATAAAAGTCAATAAGAATTAAACACAATATAACATGATAAATAAAAATTGTATAAGCTTTGAATTAACGATTTGTTCGCCTTCCAAATCATCTACTATTTCAAACTTTCACAATAAAAAAGTATAATTCCATTAAATTAATCCTATCAATAAAAATATTAAAAAAATTAAATTACTAATTAAACAAATATGTACCTTTTCAATTTAATCTAGGTTGCAAGAGAGGGATACATAATTATGCTAAATAAACTTTTTTTACTTTGGGGGGGGGGGGGGAGGGAGTAGACTTTTAAGATTTAATTGTTGAAAATTAATTTTTGCCTTTTTTAGAATTTTCAAGTCTTTTAAGTTTTAACCATCGGAAAAAGTGAGAGAGAGATGTGAATTGGGTCTTTGCTTTAGGGTGTGTTTGTTAACCCAAATTCAACACTTAAAATGAATATATTTAATACTTATTAATTAAGTCCGTTTGATAACCAAAATTTAAACTCCCTTAATATGTTAAGTGCTCCTTAAAAATAGACTACAATATTAAGTAGAAGATCACTTACTTAATTCTGAAAGTTGAAAGTGCTCAGCAAAATCATCTTTAATAATATTTACAATATGACAATTATACCCTAAAATATTTTACAATCCTATTAAAACTCTCATTAGTCTTCTTTTCAAAACTCTTAACCTATGTATTCTTCTTATCGATCTTTTTTATTTTTCTTTCCCTTTGTCTTCTGTAACAGAAATATACATACGTAATTATAATTACACACACAAATGCACGCACTGCACACACAAAATTACACACAGACATATACACTGCACACACACGCATTAAATTATAGTTAAATTGGGTCCTTTAAACTAAATTTTTTGGACTAATTTAAATTATAGTTAAAGATTATACTTATTATTTGGGGCCCTATTTTTTTTTTGGCCCTTAAGCGGTTGTTTAAGTGGCTTTTCTATTGGGTCAGCCTTGCTTGAGCCCAATCTGGGAAAAATTAGGTTTATGTTGAAATTTTTAATACTTGAGTTGAATCTGAACAAAAAAACGCCCACTTGAATTGAATTCAGATAGTACCCGAGTTGAGGTTTCATGTTAGGTTCAAATCCGAATATATAAATCGGGCTCAAATATTAAATCGGACTTAACCTAAACATATTTAAAAATAAATATATAAATCAATATAACGAAATGTCAACAAGAATATTTTATGTAAAATTTAATATTAATGAGACTAGAAATGACCCAATGAGTAGTCAATTTGTGCAAATGATTAGATTTTCAGCACAGACCTTGTGATCATTGCGCACCATTCCACAACATGGATCGATGATCAAAAGGGGGAGATGAATTGGGCACACACACAAACACACGAGGTGAGTAGGTTGGTGTGATCTATGCGAGGTGAGATTGGTTCAAAATTAATAGGATTTTTCAAGTTCAAAATTTTATTTCATTTTTGGATTTTTTTCAAGTTCAAAATTTTTTAGATTTTGATTTCAAATTTTAACCTGACATCAGTTCGAATTACATAACCTAAATCTAAACTCAAACCAAATTTTAACCAAAAATCAGTCCGAATTACGTAATTCGAGTCTGTCCAAATTAAATTTAAATAGTATTCGGGTTGAGATTGAGTTAGGATTAAGGTTAAAAAGTATATGTTTGGGATTAAGTTGGGGTTGACTCCTCGACCAGTCTAATCTGCCCGAATTAGACCCATAAGCATAAGGAAACTAGACCATTGTTGCACAATTCTTTTGGGTTATATAATGATTTGTTGGTCCATTTTGGGTGAACCTTCCTTGAGAGAAAGAGATCCAACCGAACTCAAGATTATCAGGATCAATCAAGTAATTAATGGTTCATGACCCATTACCCTCTCTGCATCTGCCTGCACTTCTCTGATTCGTGTACTTTCATCTCCCTTTTCACTCGGTCAACGCTGGTGATTGATCCTCGTAGCTATTTTGGCCCCCACACAGTCTCTGTCTCTCTCACTTCACAACCATGTGGACACTTGAACCGATTAAAACTTGTCTACTTTGCTGGTCTCTTCTCCTTTAGCAAAGCGGCACAACCACCAATTCTTCGAGGAAAATGATATACTCAATAACCTTATACAATACGCCGACTCAACGTGCATGAATACGTGGCTTGGCCACATCAATCAAACCAAATGAACTTTCCATCTAAGAGCACGACTCATTTAGCCGGAATATTAAATGAATTACATTAGTATGCAATTTAAAAATGACATGACTCATTTAGTTGATACTATAAGAAGAAAGCAAACTTTTTTTTTTCTTCACATTCTTCATGTATTATAGGATCAATTGTTTCAGAATCAAAGAGTTTTTTATAAACATGAACATCATACGAATCAAAATGTTTTAGACGAAAAAACAAGTCAAACATTTAATCAACATAAGCTTTCAATCTTTATTATTTGGATAGTTTAAAACCAATAACAATATAAGAAATATGATAATTGAAGGATAATTCGAAATCAATAACAATAGTTGGAGGTATAATTCGAGATAAGTTAGTCGACATAATGAAGAGATCAAATTAATTATTATATAAAAATATTTTTTCTACATTTTTGAATAGTGCAGCATTAGTTAGTAGCACCATTGGTACAAAATTCTTCCACTTCTAAATTTTCAGTCAATTGGAATAATTTTCACACAGAGGTGCATTCTAAAGCAGAATATTAGTGTTAATTATGTAGCAAAATGTATAAGGGTCATGGTTTTTGTTCCTCAATAAAATCCTACTTTTCTTCTTGGAGAAGAGAAGTTGCTTCTCATCCCTTCTGTCCTTTTAAGTCAATGCTGGTGTTTACAGGCTATAGAGTTGGTGGGTCACTTTTTAATAGTCAGGGTTCAAAAAGTTCATGGCCTGTGGTCTGGGTCACAGCCTGGGTCACAACCATTAATAGAAAGATTACAACTCTGAGACACCGGACAAATTTTCTAGGACCTAGGACTGCTATAACTCACATGATATAGACCAGGAAAAAATATGAAAGTGAACCACAATCAAAAACATACTTGTCCCATTAGCATGCATATAATAATGGAGCAATCAGCCCCCTTGAACATCTCTCATAATATGTTATACGCTGTATATTTTTAGTATAACGGTGATATCAAATCAACATTCATCATTCAATAATATTTTAGTAAATAGGTAAGTGGACCCTATTCAATGATATTTATTTTGCCAAGAAGAAGGGTATTAGGGGGTGAAATAAAATAAAATTGTACTTGGGTTTCACTTATACCGTATTTATTATGTCATTGTCGGCTGATATAAAACTCTAAAAATAATTCCAACCCAGTGCTACAATGCAAATATACTTATGTAGGATGGTTTAATTAATACCACCTAGGGGTGGTATAATAATGAGTTAATAAATCAACACATAGTATTACAAAAGTAAATTACAATATTATCCTTTCCAATGCGTATGTTCTACACCAAGATAAGGGTATTAAAGTCAATTGACACCAAATAACTTCTTTTTTCTTATTGTGGGACCACAAGAAATATAAATTACCATAGTCTTTTTTAATACCTCATGGCCTAAATAGATGTGAAAGACATTCAATTCAATCTTAAATGTAATCATCACATTTTGTGAGATCCACATGCATTGTGAAAAATTTGAGCAATGTTACATGAACTTAAAAAGTAGACCTAAAAATTAGACTTGATAATCTCAACCATTAATTTCACTGTGAGTTCTAGCATTTATTGGGGCTTACCACCTCTTCAATGGTTGAGATTATCAAGTCTAATTTTTAAGTTAATGTAGCATTACTCGAAAAATTTACCTAAAAGTGATGTTGGATGAGAAAAGATAATAAATTATGCCTATCAAACCCAAGGGGATTGGAAAGGGTTGGAATGAATACTTCAATCCTACACAACTAATTCTTTGAAACAAACATGCCCCAAGTATAATCTCTTTTTACTATCCAAGTGTAAAAAAATGGTCTTCGCCTTGCTCACTTATTTTTTTATTATTAAATGATGATACTAAGTAACGATGTTAACCTAGTATCACTACAAGATTGTAGGTTGAAGTTCTTGTCAAATAAGCTCAATAGGTCATCTTCACGCTTGTATATAGCCAATTTGAGTTAGCAAAACAATGGTTTCAACAAGTGCTTAATTTAAAATTTTATTCACTATGGACTATGAAGACTCTTTCTCTGACCGACCCTTCATTCGTTGAACCTTTTAAACCTTATAACTGTTTGGTTGTTTCCTCACTTGACCAGATGGACCCCTGCTTGCCAATTTATATATGAATATGCCACCCCGTGCACCATCAAGCTGTGGCAAAACAAACATGAATTGCTTCATTGATCTGAGATATCTTGCTGCCCCACTGTTAAACCTTCTCTTCTACCTCCTCCAAGACCTCCAAATCAAGCCTTGGGGCCATGACAATGATCAACTATATATTGATCATGATCATCTTATTTTGAAGTTGTTCTTCATTCTTTTCATCGCCTTTGCCACGTTCCTCTTCCTTTTCACTTCCATAAAACTCCCTCTCAATGTAAGTGTCACTGCCGGTGCCATTTGTTCACGAGCTGGAGACTTCTCGGTTCCAGTGACTCTCTCATTGCTATGCTCAATCTTTTTGTCACAACAACAGTTTTGGGTTGCGTATCCCATTATCTTGTGCACCTCTGCTTGGTATGGTTGGCTTTCCAATCTGCTTAACTGGTTTTTCAACCAGTTGAAAGGTTTTTTCTTCTGGTTTTATCACACCCTCCAAGCAATTCCTACTCTCAATTGCATAATTTTCTTCACCCAAGAACAAGACCACCCTGAAGAGGATCCTCCCATGGTTGATATTGAAATTAGCTGAATTTTAAGAGTACATGCCAGCAAGAGCAGACAAATTTGGAAGACTATATATGTGGAAGTAATAAATGGGCAGGTGTATTGGTGTACCCTATGTAATACTCTGTTTTATTTGTATTTTTGATGTAATTATGTTGTTTCCTTTAGACAATTTGAGGCTTTAGAGTGAAAATGGTGTGGAATGGGAGGAGTTGATATCTTTATGAAATCCTCAAAAAATGACTTTAATCTTGACCCAGAGAATTTATGCTTTTCTGGTGAACATGATTTGTGATCCTTGGACAGGCAACTTTTGTTGATTAATGTTATCCATGATCAAAATTCGTGTAAATATTCTCCATTACTTTGGAATACCAGGATGGTTGGCAACAGTAAGGATCGTTCCCTCTCTCATATAAGCTGACTCTATAATGTCGTTTTCCTATACTTTTTGGGACAATAGGGAAGGACTTGTAGTTCCAGCAACTCTTCGACATTTGTTCACTTGCTCAATAAGGTAAAATCCTTACTCTATTCCTTATGAAATAACGGCCTTCCCAAAGCCCCGTCTTAGAAGAGACTCTTGTGTATTCGTGCTCCAATACCATGATGCACTTCACTTGCTTGAGAGAGTGGTTGCTTTATTTGGATTTCGTTATTACTTACTTTCATACTATGTGCTTACATGCTTGTATATGTGAAGTTTGAAAGAACTGTCATTAATTAGTACTCCTGGTGCTGGTAAGGTCGAGACCATGGTTCGTCTCCATTTGCCGGCTGATAAGATCTCTGAAATTGACCAGCCAACTTGCTTGGTTCGGCTATTCTTTTCTATTGAAAAGGAGTCAAGAGCTCTTGTTTGTTCAAATAGAGGAAAACCACTTTATACATATAACGTTAAACGTTTTGAATATGTAGACACCATTAATGTAAACTGAACTCAATCTATTTTTTAACTTTGTCAAGAGCTTGTAAGTGGAATTTTGGGCAATCTTTGTTGTTTAACAACACCTAAAAACTCTTCAAAGACAGTTTTAATAACTTGCAAGATCCCTTTTTCTTTTTATCTTTGTTAGTAAGATATGTTTAAGTTGAGTAAGAGAGACATTCCTCCTCAATGATATTAATCTACCAATACAGATCCTAGAACAGAGCAAAAGAAAACCTTTACCAATATAAAACAGTTGGGGCATGCTAGGCATGTTGTGCAGCTGTTATATCGGCTAATAGCAGGTCGGCCTGACTTAAAACTAATATGTTGGGCTTAACTAGAATTAGCAAAGCCATTATCCGCAAAGCAGACTCTCTCTCTCTCTCTCTCTCTCTCCCTCTGACCTTCAGCATTTTCTTTTGTTTTTTGGGTAATTGGAAAACAGCTAAACCCCTTTAACACTCATGACCCTTTTCTTCAAAGTGTTGACCTCTTGAACCAGTTCATTCGATCATCAAACCTTCTATTCATGTAGACTAAACACAATCTACTTTTTAACTTTGTCAAGCCATTGCCCACAAAGCAGACTAAACACATCGTGAGAATTCAATTGCACAAAAAGGTAGATTGTGTTTAGTCTGCTGTTGAAGGCTAACAGCACACGGTGCTCTTTAATGCAACGACACCTTTTTGGCGTGGACACCCCTAACAGACTCCCCTCCAACTTTTGAATCCTTTACCAGTAAAATGCCAAAAGCCTATTCTTTTTGCTTCTTATGCCAAAAACCTACCGTTCCTCTCTATTAGTTAATGGTTTTAGGGTCTCCCAAATTGTGAACGATGTCGTTTCGAGTTGTTAGGATAGAGTCAGAATTTTTGAGGGGGTAAATTAACGACAAGGTTTTTTTTTTTTTTCTCAACTTACATATTGTTCTTAACATAATGAATATATGTATAATAAGATAGCTCAGAAGTTGAATTTTATTCCTTACATATTTCCCTTCCAAAAAATTACATCACTTATTTCTATCACATGTCTAATTATTTTAATATTTGATTAATTTATAATTTAATATAATTTTTATTTCAAATATTATCCATACACGATAATATACATATGTTGAGAAAAATTTATCAAATTATGTATTTTGAAAAATTATTATTTAACATAGTAGAATAGATTTTTTTGGGCGCTTGAATTTTATATTTTATCGTGTCTTCAAGCATAAGTTATGACTAGCCAATAGATAATTGATAACTTGATTACATATAAAAAAAATATATCATTGATTTTTTTTTGTTTAATGAATTTTATATATCAAGTATGATGTAATAGATATAATAATATTATTTTTTATTTTTTTTTCTCAACTTACATGTTGTTAAATAAATTAAAAATGAATATCATGAGAATTCAATTAATATTTCATGCATTAATATATATATTATTTTTTATTATCTTAATTTAAATTTTCATGTATTTAAAAATAATTTTTCTTGCTTTTTGAGAAGAAAAAAAATTGATCAAGTTCTTATATTTAAGTTTTGTCAATAAATCTTTCTTAATAGATGATATAACTAATCTATTTAATCTTTTTTGAAACATAATTGACCATAAATAATATTTTCTCAATTTAAGTTTTGAAAATCTCCTTTCTGTTGAAGCGACTGTTACTGGTATTGTTAACAAAATTGTATAAATAATGCATTATTCAAAAAATAATCTAGTTTTTTATGTAGTTTATTATTTTAATTGGAGTGGTTTCAATTTTTAAAACTTTTAATTCTAAAATTAATCTAAGCCATCAATATCAACAGATACATCATGTTTTAGAAAATTTTTAAGTTTTAAGGCAATATTTTTGCAAATTATCTTCATCTAAAAATTTTAACTACAACACATTGAGAGAGAGAGAGAGAGAGAGAGAGAGAGAGAGAGAGAGAGAGAGAGAGAGAGAGAGGCGTGAGCAAAAATAAATTTTGTTGACAAGATCAAGTTTAGTATTTTTACTAGAGTTTTTTTTAGGGTTTTTATTGGGCTTAGCCGAATGGAGAGTATTTTTGGGCTTAGCGAGGCTAGGTACTGATTTAGGCTTTTAAAATTGGGCCCTAAAAATTTAGGTTTAATCTAAAACAAAAAGATAATTGACAAAAACAAAAATTGGGCCTAATATACTTAAGGCATAGATTTTTTGGTAGCTCTCTAGAATTGGGGGCCTAACCACCTTAGTGGTCTATGCTTAAGGTTGGCCATTGGCCATGGTATCAAATTATAGAGTAATGTTATTGGATCTAAAAATCGAACTTGATTTGCTAATATAATAATGTATCGAGTGATATAATCACAATGAAAAGTCCAACAGTTCCAATTACAACAATATGTGTTATTGGACTATGTGTCACTACTACATTATTAGATTAACGAATTAGATCAGATTTTGAAATGCTAATAACATTAGTCCAAATTATATGTTTCCTTCATATTCTCTCAGTAAAGTGGGTAGTAAATTGACAAGAAAACTTGTATATATGCCTAAGGCTGCAAATGGACCGAGTTGTTCATGAAAAACTTTGGAATCGGCTAAGAACAAAACTTCCTTGAAGTTTTTTCCTTTATAGAACGTACTGGCTTGACCTCAATTAATCTGAGCAATGGGTTGTTCGGCTAGTTGATTAACACAAAAGTATATGTCACATATACAAAAGGCTTTACTTTTTTGTTTGAAATTAGTAAGACAAAAGAATGTTATTTTTGACTGTAGAGCGTTTGTTTATAAACTTAGGATGATTAGGTTGATGGAATTGGAATTAGAAAATTTTGTCAATGATTCTTTGACTTTTTATGAAAGAGATTTTCTAGACCTTAGACAAGATAATCAAACTAGTTACTGTCATAAATTCATAACTCTGATATAATTCTTTGAAAAACTAGAGAACTATAATTTGTTTTGCAAGTTGCGACCATTTGAATTGTGTTTACTTGAATTGATTCAATTGAATTGATATCGAATTTGAAAAGAAAATAATAAATTGAGCTTGGATAAGATACTTAAAATACAACTTGATTTAAATAAACAAACCAACCCCAATCGAACAACATATTATTTGACTTGATTTGCACCTCTAGTAGCGAAGGATGGTTTTTTTGCACCTACGTGTAATAAACATAAGTTTTCAATCTTTATTATCCAGATAGTTTAAAACCAATAGCAATATAAGAAATATGATAATTGAGGAAATAATTCGGAATCAACAACCATAGTTGTAGATATGATGCGAGATTGGACAATGAATATGGTCAGATATAACATTAGTTAGCAATGCTAACATGGTATCACAAATCAATAATAAAACACCAAGTGGGTAAGATGAGCCCCACTTAAATAATTATTTATTTATATGGAGGAAAAATGGGTAGTTAGTTGCTTACATGGTAGTTATTTATTAATTTTAATGTGGTTCATTTGCTATATTTCTTTTAATATTATTGGTTTGGTATGGTACTTTTGTTGATTATTCTAATTTAAAAATATTTAGTTGCACTACTAATTGTCATGAGAATGATGTTAAACTTGAGCTTAAGGCTAAGAAGTGCATATTTATTAGTTATGTTAATGCTGTGAAAGGATATAGATTGTGGTGTTATGATTCTAAATCACCTAAGTTTATAATCAATATAGATATTGTATTTGATGAAACTTCTATGTTTCATCCGAGAAAAAAGTTTGTAGTTTTTGTAGAGAAATAACAGGGTTATAGTAAGGAGGTGGAGTTACAAATGAAAGTTTCAAATAAAGTATTTCAGTTCAATCTATTTCAGATTTGCTTGGTTCTAGTTCAGATGATAATTTACAAGAGGAGCAGCAGTATAATGTTGCAACAGGCATAGAGATGAGGCAAATTAAACCCCCTAAAAACTATGGGTATGCAGACTTGGTGGCTTATGCACTGACTATAACAGAGGAGTTTGGTGTTTATGAGCCTTCCACATATTTAGAAGCTATCACTGGTCGTGAGTTTGCACATTGTGCTGTTGCTATGACTGAAGAAATTGAATCTCTTAATAAGACTTAGACTTGGGAATTAATGAATATTGTTGGTTGTAAATGGGTCTTCAAGAAAAAAAAAATGGGAATTCCAAGGGTTACATCTGCAAGGTACAAGACACGATTAGTTGTAAAGGACTATAGTCAAAGAGAGGGTATAGATTTCAATGAAGTTTTCTCATCAGCTATGAAATATAGCTCTATTCGTATACTGCTTGTCATGGTTGCTTCACTCAATCTAGAGATTGAGGAACTTGATGTAAAAACAACTTTTCTACTTGTTGAGTTTGAGGAAACTATCTACATGCATCAATCAGAGAGATTTATTGTTTAATATAAAGAAGATCATGTTTACTTGTTGAATAAATCATTATATGGTTTGAAATAGTCTCCAAGGCAGTGGTACAAATATTTTGACACCTTTATGCTAAATAATGGTTAATCTAGGAATAATTATGATAGTTGTCTGTATCACATGTAGTTATCAAATGATTCTTTTATATATTTATTACTTTATGTGGATGACATGTTTATTGCTACTAAGAATATGTTAGAGATTGACAAATTGAAGAAACAGTTAAGTTCAAAATTTGAGATTAAAGATTTGGGTGCTGCAAAGAAAATTTTAGGTATGGAGATTCACAAGAATAGGGAAGCAGGTATGTTGTATTTACCTCAAAAGAAATATATTGAAAAAGTTATTGAGCAGTTTGACATGCAAAACTCGAAGCCCGTGAGTACTCTACTTGTCGCTCACTTTAGTCTTTCAGCAACTTTATCACCATAGAGTGAGAATGAGAAGCAATTTAAGTCTCATATTTCTTATTCTAGTGCAGTTGATAGCATTATGTATGCTATAGTTTGCATTCATCCAAATATTTCATAGGCAGTTAGTGTAGTTAGCCGTTACATGACTCATCTTGGAAAAGTTCATTGGCAGGCTGTGAAATGGATACTTCGT